GGCAAACTGTCATCCCCCAACTTCAACAATAAGGTGTGCACTCCCTGACGGGTATAGTAGCACGTTGGGTTGACATCATTCATACTACGGACAGATTTCAACACGAATTATTTTTTAATTATATTATTTTGCTTTAGATTTACATTGTATGAGATACGATTTTCAACGTCAACTTCACATATATCAACATGAACCATCACATACATGTATATCAAAATCAACCGCAAAGAGTACAATATCAGCAGCTCAATGGTTAAATTAAAGGTGGCAATTTCGACAATATGACCATTGTGAAGTATGGTCCAATGAATTTCCGCGAACTCGTCCAAAGTTGACCATTGTGACATATAATATTTTGCCCGAGATCATTCAAAACATCCTAGTAAATGGAAATAGCAGGCAATCCTGGTCAACATCGTTTGTCTCCTTCAACGACCGCTTATATCTGAAAAGACAAAAATCAAAAAACCCACAGCAGAATAGATTCTCAGTAGTATTTCGATAACTGTCAATAAATTGGGGGTCGGCCAAATTAGGTACAGCTAAATCATGTAAAACAATGTAAGCTTACACTGGAATTTTTTTTGTTTCGATAACCGCTCTAATTAATGTTCAAATATATGTACGCGTCATTCCGGGAAGATAACTGTACGTTACAAAAATGTTCAATTTCTAAACGCTTATATCAAAACACGTCTTAAATCTACACGCTTTTAGATATAGTACATGTTTAGGCATAGGTGTTTAGCCATTCAAATTCAACACAATCTAAAACATGTTTAGGTCTATGTAATGGAAGTGTTTATTTTCTATACGCAGTTTTTACAGTGTACACAGGGGCTTGCTCCCGACGTGTAATAATTCTTTATTTTAAAATTCTGTAAACAAGAATGGTCTATAATAAGTTGATACAGCTTTCCCTTAGTAGACATTTAATACTGTGAAGGATTTCTTGACAATACACATCAAAGAATCTCGGCTTAACTATAACAAATTCTCTAGGAGTATAAAAGTTTTCGAACAAGAGAAGACTTAAATATTGTCAACTGTTTTAATGATATGTAAAATATTAAGCAAATCAAACAATTAAAAAACAGGGGAAATTTTAAATATTTACCTTATCCAATCGTACATACCTCAGGTTATAGTTGTTGCGTTTGACAACACATCGTTCTTCCAGATACCAGGTATGGAATATTTAAAGCAGAATTGCGAGCAAAATGTGTATTAAGAGCAACTATCATATAATTATCATTTACATGTATTCTGTTTAAAACTGGATTATACTTTTTGAATGCAATAAAAAACGCTCTTCATTAGTTATTTACGGTACATAAACATATCCCAACTCTTTCTGTTTGAATTGTTGTCACACCAATGCTTTATTATTGCTCTGAGATTTGGGGTATTCGTAATATTAATGAAAACTTTCACATGAAGTTTATTAAGGAATTTTTAGGTGTACTTTGTAAAACTATTAAAGAAATGCTCACTGCAGAGCAGATTTAGGTAGACATCCCCTGTGGACAAGATACATTTTTCAAGTATAAAACTTTGGAAAAAAATATTTTTACTTCCAAGAATACATTAGCATTTAAAATCTATAAAACAAAAGTAAAAAAAAAACACTTTTGGACTAATTTTGTTTCCAATTTTCAACAAGGATTTCATTCATTACTAAATAGGACAATTCATCTCTAAAGAAAAACGTACTCACTCCCGTCCCAAGCCGGTGTTGAACTCTCTACCTACGGAAACTGCCTCCTTGCAGTTCAGACTAGACCGCTCGGCCATCAAGGCAACTAAAAGAAACTCGCTTTCGATGCCGATGGAATTCTCGCGGCGCTGTTCTACTTTTCACAATCATTGAAATAAATATAGAGTTTGAAACTATAAGAAAGATATCTCTTTTTTTGTATTTATAACGTTCCGACAAGAGCAATTATGTAGATATAATTTGTCGTAGTGCGTATCTGGTGCATCAAAATTTGTGTCGTATTGATATCTAAATTGATGACAAACACACATGTAAATAATACACACATACCCTCACACCTCCCCCACCCACACACACATCTTATATAAAATAGAGAGGGAGAGAGAGTTACCAGATATCTCTGCATAAGTTGATGATTTTACTGATGAATCTGTCACAGTTGTTGATGCCACTATAAAGACTTCCTTTTTATAACAACCTCTGTCTGAAATGAACAATTTGAATAAAAAAAACTATACTTTGATTTATATAAAAAATGATATTTCTATTTCCATCTGATTGGATTTTTGGAGGTTTTGAATTTTTAATCAGAATTTAAACCTAAGTAATAAAATGTTGGTTCAAAGTCATATGACTAATATATCTAGTCAAGTATGTTGTTCGCCATTAAATGTGAGATTGGTATTGATACTAAAGAAAAAGCATATCGCCAGGTTTATCAATTTCGGCGCTGAAGCTTACTCGAAAGTTACAGAATTAAAAACATGCTCTCACTTAACAAAATGTGTCATGTTTCAGTATTATTTAGTTTTCAGGGAACCTCAATTTCAATTTCATTGATTGCAATTTTGCAATATAAACCTGAAACTCAAAACACATATTGGATTGGAAATATAGTACAATTCTCAGTTAACCTTGGACTTTCAGAAAGGCGTGGCATTCTCGACATTACCTAATTAGCGTCTAAAAATTACACAGCTTTCATTCACTGTCAAAATATACATGGGTAAGAAATTCCGGCGAATGTGAACGAGTAGCAATTATCCAATACAGCGTCTCGTACGGCACAGAGGTGAACCTCAAGTTGTCTCATCGTTGTCAACAACAATTTAAAGTTGCTGATGTTATTATTTTTTAAACTAATGAGAATCGATTCACCATTCGACAGAAGCTTATTACGTAGCGCCGAGAATGCGACACCTTTCTGAAAGTCCAAGATACTAGTGATACCTAAGAATTGTACTAAGGATTTGCTTTGTCTTTTTTCCCCTTAATTTATGCCACGTTTTAAACTGTAGGTAATGACTTGGAATATGCAACAACAGAACAGTGACAACTTTTACTCATCAAAGAGGATCACGAAACTAACAAAACTACTATGCACTAGAAAAAAACATGTTCAAACATTAAAATTGAATGCATTTAAAATAGAAGTTCTCAACTTGACATGCACTGGAAAATAGAAAAAAAACAGGTTTAATTGAATGCATTTAAAATAGGTATTCTCGCAATTTATTTTGAAAAAAAACAAAAACTAATATTTTCATTATAATAAAGGGACTTATAGGCTGTAAACTCTAGTATAAGGTAGTTGCAGGCTGTGTCGGGAAATAAGGAATTATCAGATTATTGCAACCCGGAGGACCGGGCTTCTCTGTACATATAAGTTAAGTGTTGGTGTATCGGGATATGGGGATTGAGCTGGGAGAAGTTATTCAGAATTAAAGGTTTTCTTCACATTAAAAAGATTGTTAATCAGAATGTTCTTTCCCTTTATAAATTACGGGATACATAATATATTTTTCCATAAAGTGAATTTTTCAAACTATATATGTTTTGATATTTAATATATCAAGTTGCTTATCATTTACTATCGAGAAAAAAAAACGACAGGTCCCTTTTTAAGAACATCGAATTTTGCTTATCGCATAAAAACGTACTCTATATACACAGTTCGTGTTTTATATTCTTAAAGTGAAATACATTTTTGAAAATAGATGATGCATGGGTCTAGCTTCAATTTATATTTTATGCAGCCAACATTTACTTGAGAAATTCATAAAGTTTAAAAAGACAGAAAGGGTATCGTTTTGGTTCGATTTTTATCCGACTGTAAGTTTTTAAAATATACTCGACTATCGTCTCCATCATTTAGACGCATGCTTTCTTCACACATAACAAAGCGGTTTGATGATCAAGACCCATTTCCATTGTTTACTTTATTTATTTCCCGGGCGACAATTGATGGTTACATCAATGTTTTCTTGTTCACTCTGTTTGCAGCTCACGGGGATAAGTTTGTAGAGACAAGTAGGCATCATAGAATTGTGATTGATTTGTTTTTTATTTGTGGCTGATTTTTTATAATCCATTATTGCTTTGTTTAATATTCATTAACTAGCTAGGAACCAGGAAAAATATATTACAGATTTCAGTCAATTTTCTATATGATTGTGCCATTTTGCAATTATTCAAGATTGTAGGTTAAATATTATATAAATGTGACTCTAAGGAAGGAATCTTAAGCGGACTACAATGTACATTAATTAATAATCATTTCGGTGCGTTTCATTACTGCTACATTTACAACATTTTCATTATCGCTACATACTCTTTACCGGTATAAAAAGGATTACATTACCACTACATTTAAAAATATACATTACCGCTACATTGCCTCTTCTGTTAGCCAGCGGTTTGGGCATGTACAGATTGATATTCTCGTAAAAATTAATATAGTTATACTTATATAACACCTGTTCCCCTTGCTCAACAGAGAGGTGAAAGTAAGACTTTGCTGTTTGGAAATTTCTTATAATGAAAAATAATAAATAGAACTTATATTTCGTGCCATTGTTGGCTGATTCGATATGTTAACAAAAAATTATCCCCATAAAACAATCCCTATACCCTCTCAGTAATCGAAGGTCTGATTATTTGAAATCAGTATTTAATCTTCTATTCAGATTTTTTTCTTGAAAAGAGCATATACAATCTGTACATACAATGGATAGACAATGGAGACTTAAAAAGTCTTTCTGGGCAGTCTGAAACCCCTGGACACGGTCTTTCATCCATATTTCCTTGGTAATTGTTGTAATACGGACATCGTCCTGTACAAAAAAAATACAGAGGCTTATCAAAAAAGGATACTTTAAACTGTAACATGTTTATTTCTGCGGAAACTGATATTTTTGTTTACATGTTAAATTAAAAAATGTTTCATCGTTACACCATGAATAATATAAAAAAAACTGTCAACAAATACAAGACCTAGTTTTAAAAAGTAAAAATGCCTTTTTCTATCCATGTAATTGAGAAACAACAGAGTCCGAGGTCATCATGGTCGTTAGGCAGACAGTGTAAGACGCGATCCTTCCCTGAACAATTCTGGTACACCTCTATTGGAACTTCTGCCAGACTTAAGTCGGTACAGGAATTGACAGGGAAATAAAGTGAAGTGTACCCGATGTCAGTAATAACAAAAGTATCACCTCTGTCAAAATAAAAACATTTCGTACACATTCATATTTTTACTGATATTTTTTCTATTAATTGTGTTTCATATTTTTATATCATTATATCATATAAGAAAAATGTCAGCCATTATTTAACTCAGTGATAAATTGTCTTTGCTGACAAGGTCATTGTATCGACAATTTATTACCTACAAAATGATAACTTTAAACGAGACTACTGATAATCTTGCTTCATCAACTTGTTTGTCAATAACTTACCTCATTTTAGAACTTGTTCATACATAGTACATGCTCTTCTGTATCGAATCAACTTAGAGATATTAACTCCGTATGCATTGTATCGACCATAGAACGTACGAAATAATGACTTTAAACGAGACTACTGATATTCTTGTTTAATCAGTTGTTTTGTCAATAATCTATAGAATTTTAGAATTGTACAAACGTAGAACATGCTCTTGCGTATCGAATCAACTGAGAGATATACCCTGTATACAGGTGGCAAAGGTATTTTGCTGCCTAAGTAAGGGAGGTTGATAATTGCAAATTTAAAATCATAACGTTTGTCATAAAACGTAGTAATCAGATTACCTTGAACCTATTTTTCATGTAAAATAACCAATATGCCAATGGATAATGTGTGGGACTTTTATTTTTTAGTTTATGGTCGAATTGAATGGGAACTGCTAGGGCATACGGAACTCGTCAGTACCTATTTCAACTTTCCAAATAATGTTTTTGGGGAAAGGCTAACTTTTATGAAGCAAAATTTAATTCTACAAGTCATTGAACTACCTTGACCAAAAAAAATTTTTTAAATTATTTCTTGAATATTTATAGCTCGGCCGAATCGGTTTTTTATAAGGAACCGGTCAGACAATTGTATCATAAAGCGTTACAGACGCACGGACGGACATCACGATCACTATATACCCTCGCACCATTTTCAATCTTGGGGTATACAAAAGGAGACTCAATGTCTTAACTTACCTTTCAGTGATGGTTTCCAATTAAACACATTTAACAAATCATGCTGGAAAGAAAACAGTATAAATATCAACATATTGAAACACCGTTAAGAGTAAGCGACGGATAATTTGCAAATAACAAAGTCGAATTTTATAGTACAATTTGAGAGCAAAGCAATCGGAAATCCCTTAAATCCAAATTTAGTGCCATAAAAAAGTACGCAATTTCTGACGACTAGCAGAACCACTATGAATCCTTTGACATTCTTGTGAACGAACATCAGTAGGAAAATGATTAAACGTACCAACTGAATTTAAAAATACTTGTAAAGATTAAACCTCACAAAAATGCCTTGACGTGGTCATTATGTTGATCATAAAATTTGAATCAAGATGAACCGAAAATTTGTCGCAGTCGATCATCTTTATCATTACTTCTTGCAGGTCGTTTTACTACAGGGTTGAAATGAACAGGAGGTCCCGCTGTTTCAACAAAAGATTTTGTTGCAGAGTGATAGAGTGAATCACCCCCCCCCCCCTTCAACCATCTTGGAGAATTTCTATGTTGGAAGTAGAATATGATTATATGTTTGGTTTCCAGACGTAGCATAAAACCCAAGTTCTTTCTAAATACACAATAATAACGAGCCTCACAAATGAAGACGATATTGTTACAAGCCCTAACTGCTAGTACCATAACATATTCATGTAGTCTCTTTAATTCTTCGATCTTCACTTCTAATTTAGTGAAAAAGGAAGAATATAGATGGTTCGGTTTTCCTTTTAATTGTCTAAAAAGAATATACATGTAATATATATTTCCAAAACACTTCATCCATTCTAACAAAGTGTGAAAGTCTTCCCCTTTATGTAGAGCAAAACGTTTGGTATAATTTTCGACATTATTCCAAATTAAAATGGAGTTTTCACGCCAATTGAAAGATAAGGTCTCCCTGTATTTTTAGAAACATTTACAATGTCTGCTTAAAAGCCTTCATTTCAACTACATGTATAATACTTTCACCAGTAATGACGTGTCCAGTGGGATATATTGTAGTTGAAAGAAGATGCGGTGTTTTAATATGGCAAGCCCTTTTGCTATTTATTAGGAAAATAAAATTTATCTTAAATTTACAGAGATATCTCTCAATTTAGAGAGATATCTCTTAAGAAATAGAAATATCTCCAAATTTAAAGAGATATCTTTCATTTTTAAGAGATATCTCTTTGAGAAAGAGATATCTCTTAAGAAATAGAGAGATATATCTTTTGATAAGAGAGATATTTCTTCAACTTGAAAATATATCTCTTTCTCCTTGAGAGATATCTCTGAACGTAAAAGAGAGATCTCTGAAAGTAAAAGAGAGATCTCTTTTACCTAGAGAGATATCTCTTTTACTTTTGGAGATATCTCTTGAAGTAAAAGAGATATCTCTCTTAGTTTATCTTAAGAGATATCTCTTAAAGTGAAGGAGATACCTTTCAAAAGTATATAAAAGAGAAATCTCTCAAGCAAAAAGAGATATATCTTTATTGCAAAGAGATATCTCTCTTCATTATTTTTATTTAAATTCTATTTAAAATGACTTCTCCCTTACCGGAAGTAAGCTTTTTATTCACGGAATTACATTGATATTTAACATTAATTAAGCTTTACCAAGCATGACAAGTAATTCAGTGTTTTCTAGATTTCATATTTGTAATAAAAGTTGATTATTTTAAGCTGAGAAAATTCTGTCCTTTGCATTTGAGACTATTTGCTTACTTTCGTTTTCCCGAATATGACACTTTTAACATTTTTATCAAAGAAGTTGCCATTATTATTTGTTGTTTCAAACAAGGGATTTATAGCATTTTTGTCTACATAGTACATATATCATACTGGGTATAGCATGCTCAGTCTAGCTTTTTTTTTATAACAGCAAAACTATTCCAGAGACTATTTTTTTTCCGGTTTCGCTTTTGTTTCAACGGGAGAACAATTATTTTATTTACAGGTGATTGGAAAAGAGATATCTCTTTCATTAAAAGAGATATCTCTTTAGCATAGAAAGATATCTCTTTTTGAAAATCTAAAGAGATATCTCTCTAACTAAGAAAGATATCTTTTTCTAACTTTTAAAGATATCGCTCTTGCTTAAAGAGATATCTCTCTAGCTTATTAAGATATCTCTCTTACAAAAAGAGATCTCTCTTTCAAAAAAGAGATATCTCTCCAAAGTATAAAGATATCTCTATTAGTCAAAGAGATATCTCTATAAGCTAAAAAGATATCTCTCTATGCTAGAGAGATATCTCTCATATTGAAAGAAAAAATTATTTTATAAATAAATAGTAAAAGGGCTTGCCATATTTTAATCTTGTAGAGAGTTTGCCATTTTTTCTAAAGACACCGCTGACTACATAAATGGAGTTTTATGAAGAGACTTACTTTTACAATTGACGACTGACTTTTACAATTTAAACATTGACAAACTCCAATCACTAAAATGTAAAAGTCAGCTGTCAAATGTAAAAGTAAGTCTCTTCATAAAACTCCAGTAAGAACATTTCAGATCATACTACCTTAGGTAGCTTCCCAATATTTTCATTACAAACACATAAATAGTTTTAACATTACATTAAAATCATTCTATAAAATGATACGTGGAGCTCGAACCATATTTACATGTACACTGTAATTTCTTTAAAATAACACAAAACGAATTTAGTCTATAAAACGTGTTAATTTATTTATCTTTTTGACGATATTAGATTGCTTCCACTCACATCTTTCAATAAAAAAAAGTACACTAAAACTTTTACATTAATTTCCTTGCTATTTTTTCAGTACGTATTTAGTTACCTTTTGGTGTATAAATGAAATTCCACACTGTTTCTTCATTGCTTCAGCAAAAACACCCAAAGACATTTCTTTCGTTTGCATCAATATTTATTTCATAAGTGTATATTTTCACGTCAAGCGTAAATTTATTTTAATTCACATTCAGTGAATTAATGCTATAAATATTTCTGCTACATATATTTGATAATTCTCTTGTTAATTGCTTGATAGGGAAATAGGAAGAATAACACTTTTTCAGGAAATGATTGTATTTGTTTACCAATTTTTTTTAAAAAACGCAGTGATTGTTTTCCTCGGCGGTTTGAGGAAGTGGATGTGTTGTTTCTTTCCTTAAAGCCTTTTTTACATTCTCTATAAAATAAATTAGGTGTAAATTTTATTTGTTTGGACGTATTTTTTAACTTGACTATTATAGTAGCTTGGTTATTGATTGTAGATTTTCAACATGCAAAACAAGACGTCATAAACGCATTTTTTTTTTTACAAATAACGCGAAGTTTTCCGAAAAGTGACGGAGTTAGGTTAGTGAGGGAGTAAGGGGGTTTGGAAAGGAACGAAAGAAATAAAACAAAAATATTCTTTCAACAATAAAAATCTGTGAAGAAGAACAAACACAGACACCTGGGACCACTAGAGGTGGGGTCAAGTTCCTCAAAGGAGAAAGCATATCCCCTGTTGAACATTTAGACCCGCCATAATCCCTATGTACAAACTTGAATGTACACTACCTGAGGATGACTTAACATAAGTTTCATCTTTCCTGTCCCTATGGATCTTGAGAAGATTTTTAAAGATTTTTCCTAATATATATTCCTATGTAAAACGTTGATCGGCCATTGTGGCCCCACCCTACCCCCAGGGGTCATGATTTGAACAAACTTGAATGGACCCTACTTGAGGACGATTCAGCATAAGTTTCATCTTTCCTGTCCCGACGGTTCTTGAAAAGAAGATTTTTAAGGATTTTTCCTATACAGCTGTATATTACTATGTAAAACTTTGATCGGCCATAGTGGCCCCACCCTACACCGAGGGGGGGGGGATCATGATTTTTACAAACTTGAATGTACACTACCTGACTTACCAAAAGTTTCATCTTTCGTGTTCCTATGGATTTTGAGAACATTTTTAAGGATTTTCCTGTATATTCCCATGTAAAACTTTGATCGGCCATTGTGGCCCCACTCTACCCTCGGGGGTCATGATTTGAACAAATTTAAATCTACATTTCCTGAGAATGATTCAACATGAGTTTCATCTTTCCTGTTCCTATAGATCTTGAGAAGAGAATTTTGAAAGATTTTCCCCATATATATTTCTATGTAAAATTTTGATCGGCCATTGTGGCCCCACCCTTGCCCTGGGAGTCATGATTTGAACAAATTTTAATCTACACTACCTGAGGATGATTCCACTTGAGTTTCATCTTTCCTGACCCAGTGGTTCTTGAGAAGATTTTAAAATATGCCATTAATTTTTCACTAATTCATAGTTATCTCCCCTTGGAAGAGGGCCTGGTCCTTCATTTGAAAAAACTTGATTTCCCTTTACCCAAGGATACTTCGTAGCAAGCTTGGTTGACATTGGTCAAGCGGTTCTTGAGAAGACGATGAAAATGTGAACAGTTTACAACAACGTCAACGACGCCAACGACGACGACAACAACGACAACAACAACGACAACGACAGACAACGGACAAATTTTGATCAGAAAAGCTCACTTGAGCCTGCGGCTTAGGTGAGCTTAAAAGGAAAGCAGACGATAGAGAAGTTTTATCATGTCGTTCGTCAAACAATTTAGTTGTTAGTTGTCCCTCATCATCTATAGTCAGTACAACAACATCAGATTGGTAGACTCTGTGGTGTCTTTAATTTCAATTTCATGTCCCGGTCCTTCGGGTGAGACCGTATAAATTGAGGCGCTGTACGCAGTAGGTATTCTCCATATGAGTGAAAAATTATCGAGAGGAGCGTTTAAACAACAAACAAACAATTTCATGTCGCGTTGACGAGTTGGAAGACATTGTCTCCAAAGACTGTTTTCTCCAACTTCCTTTTAAGTACTTGTGTGTAGAAACAGAATGATTTTTAAGAAACTAAATATGTAAATATGTTGGTGACAAGTCACAAGATGGGAAAATTTGTTTTTATTGAAGCAGTTGCTATGATATTAAAATGTAAAAATAAATTGCATTTAATTTATCAATTTATCGTGAAAAATGGTTGTATAAAATGTAGAAAAGTTGAACGTCTTAATATAATTGACTTTTGACAAAAAATGGCTATTTTAAATTTTCTAAAAGTTCTTTAAGAGTTTTTGAGAATCTACATCAAGTTAAAACTACTAAAAAACATGCTGTTGAACAGTAAAAGTCTTGCTAGGAGTTAGGATTTTTAACATTGAATTGTCTACATGTTTTTCGATTTTCCTCATGTACATGGTCCAGTGGAATTTACTGTTCATTATCTTTGTATTTTATTGTAAGATTCGTTATTGTATTACAGTTTAAGGGAATGTAAATTAAATACTGATACGCAAAACACACGCCACAAGCAGTAATCTACAAATGTTTGATTTTTTTTTTATCTAATGATTTTCAAAAATGAATACAGTAAGGCTAAACTCACTTTTCAGAACATCAGAGATTTGATGAAAATTTTAAATGTTTATCTTTTTACTTTACTAAGTAACATAAGCCATTCAAGTAAAACGTGCAAGACTGCCCTAAAAACTACAATACAATAGGTTCATCAATATCGAGATCTGAGCGAAGGAATTATTCTTTGCCAGTTTTAAATGCCCGTTTTTCAGATGATTCGGTTGAATTTTCTCTTCGAGCAGTATAGCCACCATTGGACTTCCGGTACAAGGACTGCCCTTAATGCATATGATACGTAAGACCCTGTTGAGGCGTAATGTAGTGATTTTTTGCATCAGCAACTCTCCATAACCTTTACATTGAAATTTTCCAGCTAGAGCAATGGAAATGGGTACTGAAGCCATTTTCAAGAATCTTAGCATCGTTACGGGAGACGAAAGGAGAGTTTATTTTTTGAAATACTGCTGCATTACTTATAATGAACAGTTGAAACCCTTAAAACTCCATAATATTGCCAAATGTTTTGTTAAACATGCAATTTTTGATTTCTGTTAATCTGACTCAAACTTGACTTCCGGTTAGGTTATGAAAATCGTTCAATCGTTAAATTACCGATGTTTACCAAATTAAAGATATTCATAATTTTAAAAAACAAAATTATTTACTTTACATAATTATTTCCCCCTAAAGTAGGGTGTTGCATTTCTTTTGCGTGTCAGTATATTTTGAAAACAAGTGTTTAGTCTACAAGTGGGTATTCAACTCGTACTCATGATTGTCAGTTCTTTATTTTTAAAACCTGATAGAATTTCAGTAAACTGGCTCCTCATCATTATAATAATTAGTATTCCTTAGCAATTTATTCTTTCACTTGCATCCGAGGTTTAATTATATCTTTACGTTGCTTTGATATGCAAGAGAATTCTCTACGTATCTACAATTTCTAAAACGTAGCAAGATATTGCCAAAAAGGTTGATGAAACAAGAATATCAACAGTCTCGTTTAAAGTCATCATTTCGTAAGTTCTTTGGTAGATACATTGACCTTGTCAGCAAATACAATCTATTAGTTAAGTGAAATGCCGACTGACGTTTTTCATACTAATTGTTAGAGTTTCATTTACACATTGAAATGTCGACAGATTTGTTCGCTATTCCCTAATCAAGGGGCACATTGCAGGTGTGACAGATGGACAAGGGAAGCTCACTCCTTTGTGGCATATGTTTCTACCTCTGATGATTTGTCCATGTTTGCTCTGCTAAAGATATATATTGTTTATCCCATGACCGACAAATTTTTCTTTGATCTTCGCAAGAGTGTATTTCTCATATCAACATAAGTGTGGTGATATATTAAACATCACATATGTGATATAAAGCTAGTGATATCCAACGGTTATACTCCGGATGTAGGAGGAGCTATGCAAATGAGACAAAAATTCGTTTAGAACTAGATTTTAATGAACTAACAAAAACAAGAGAAAAACAAAACAAAACAGCTAACACAGTTTAAATCAAAATGCACAAATCTGACAAAAAAGACATCGACACTGTCAGGCGGAGCATAATTCTCGAAGCGGATAACTTCATCTCCCATGATAAAAATTCGCACATTCAATAGTAGCATTTTCCTTCCCGGCATCCTCTGAAAAGTTCATATAATGAACATCTTGCTCTCATGTACCGTAGAATATCGGAACAAATCGGATATAAAGTCCTCGGGGTAGGCCTAGGGGAAACCATATGCGCACCTGGCTTCAATTACAGTGTACAAAACGTGATATATAAAGTACACAAGTTCTTGGTATTTACTAACGAGTATTTCGGGAATGGTTTTAAACTCACCAAGTTGCTGTTTTGCTGAGATTTCCAGTAGTTGAACACTTGAACCATGTTGACTGCCCATGAAGTGTTACGGCTCGTGAATTTACTTTCTTGATTTTTTAAGCGCACTTATTTCAATGGCCGACACATGTTTTCCGAATCTAGTATTTTCAGTCCATTCCGTAAAATTTTCCCGTTTCAATCCCGGAAACTGTAAATCGAAATTCATAAAGTCCTGGCTCCATGGGCCTTTTAAATCCGATCGCCCGTGTTCATACATCTGAACTGCTTGACTCGATTGAAAATTATCCTCGTCGTAGGCTTTGCTGAAAAACGACGATTCTTTACGCTGAACCCCTTCTGCCATTTTCGCCAGATCATAGAACAAATGAATTGATTATCTCAAGAAATTGATCACGTGTTACAGTACTATGAAAATTACCAAATTTGTAAATCCGTTACTTGGATACCAAAAAACCCTTCGCGTTAAGACTATCACGTGGTTCTGTTTCAGAGTCTTTATTAGCTGATGTAAAGAAAATACCAAATATGGGAAAAGGTCAAATGAAGGGTCATGGGATAAATCAGTTACATGATTGACAGCTCGATGATGCATACAAAATATCGTTTCGTTATTGCAAACTCGGAGGCTAACGCCTCCTCGCGTG